ATTCAGAAGCAGTCAAAACAAAGAACATCAAAGAGAAATGTTTATTTTGGATCTGAACAACTTTTTACTTACATAAAAGTGTGTGGGTAAAACTGACCCGCAACATCATCTTTGTATACAAACACTGCAGAGACATTCTAGGACACATCAAAGTGTCCATATTTTAAACACCAGTTCATGACCCCAGATAAGGAAAAGTCATAAGCCTTCATGAAGAAAAAGAAAGGATGACCAGTACTTTGGCCAACACAAAAATTGGAATGGGTCAAACTGACCCTTAACATAATAAGAAGGTTAAGCCAAATAACCTCAACAACCTTGGTGGACATTTCACTGCCATCAATAAGTAAGTGTCCTCAATTGCTTTTCCTTAATCCTGGAAAAACTGTGCTTCTTGCTTTTGCAATTCGCCCCATCACACTGAAAAAAGTTAGTGGCTAGTGCTGTTGCTTCACAGTAAGAAGGTCATGGGTTCAAATCCACATTCTGGCTAGTTTGTAGTGGTTTCTCTCTGGGTATTCTGGTTTCCTCCCACAGTTAAAAGTCATGCAGTTATTCAAGATAGGGTTAACTGGTGATTCTAAATTACCTGTGAATGTAAGTGTAAATGGTTGTTTGTTTCTATCTATAGACTGGTGAGCTGTCCAGGGTGTACCCTGCCTCGTAACCTATCACTTCAGGGTTATTTCCCAGCCCTCCTGCTACCAGGATAAAGATAGGAGGATGGTAGTTGTTGTAGATCCATTCAATTTTTATGGTAACCAGACTCTAGACTTTGTTGAACATTATGTAATATGAAGACAACATATAGTATTTAAGTGACCAAGTAGTATTGGGGTAAAAGTTATTGAATAGTGTTGAAATAAAATGACAAAATTTCGAAGGATTAAAATATTCCAAGAGCTCAACTTACTTCATCTGAACATGTTTCAATCACGTTTTATAAACACAAAATGCACAGGTTTATTGCATATGAAAAGGTTGTGTTGGTTGTTTAAGTTTCTGCCAAAGCAAAACATTTGTGTGCAACCAATGTCCACTATTTCCACAGCATGTCTTTTATCCTGTCTTCCTTCTCTCACCCCAACCGGTCGCAGCAGATGGCCGCCCCTCCCTGAGCCTGGTTCTGCCGGAGGTTTCTTCCTGTTAAAAGGGAGTTCTTCCTTCCCACTGTCGCCAAAGTGCTTGCTCATAGGGGGTCATATGATTGTTGGGTTTTTCTCTGTATCTATGAAGCGCCTTGAGGCGACTTTTGTTGTGATTTGGCGCTATATAAATAAAATTGAATTGAATTGAATTGAATTATTGAATCAAGTAAATCCAACATGGCCTTTTTTCAGTGCACCAACATCAAATCATTTGCTAAGAACCTTAAAATTGAATTTTTGAGTCTCATTTTGTCTTATTTAGGAAACCACCCTAAAACCAGAACTTCACCTGCACTCAATAATCTGGAACTGCTAAAACTACTTTAATTTTCTTTAATTTTCTATCTCATTTACTTTAAGTCACTTTTCTCATGGATTTGTATGGTCTACCCTACATAAAGTCCCTCGAGGCAACTGTTGTTGTGATTTGATGCTAATAAATGAAAATTAAAATAAATTGAATTGAACAGATCTCTCAGTCCTCATCCAGTCCTTAGTTGGTCCAGCTGGACTGTTAACAAGAACTAGCAGGCACTCCTAATATTTGGAATAGCCTCCCTCAGCCTATCAGGCTGGCTGAATCTGTTTTAAAATACTGATGAAAACTCAATTGTATATGTTAGGTTTTAACAAATATTTTGCACATGTTCTCAATAATTTCTTTTTGTAAAAGTAGTAAGAGCAAACACACAACTGTGGTTTTGCAATTGAAAAATGCAGAATGGTAATGATGGTTTTAACTTTCTGAGAGGAACAGAGATGAACAGGGTGTTTTTGCAGAAGTGTGTTTCCACGTTCCATGACACGACCACACCACCACACCATCCCCCGATCCTGTACTTGATAAGACTAGTTTGAATTTAATGTGTGAAGGCAAATGTAATTTCAAACTTCCTCTTTTCCATTTCAGTCTAATTTTATTGTTGCCTCAGCAACCATGCTTTATTTAAATTATGAAGCAGAGACTTTGCTAAAGTTTTTCTGTGGTAAATACACACGTTTACACAAACCATATTCACTACTATTCAACTGTAAGTCGTTCACTGCTGGTCATTTAAAAGAATGCAGGTGTGAGGCTTCACTTCCCAAAGCTTGAAGCTACAGCCATCTTTTATCCTATCTGCACCATGGAATCAGTAGTGACAGTCACAGTGTAAGAGCAGCAAGCTTTTGCCAGACTCTGATATTTACAACTGTGTCACCTTTACTACTTCTGTATGTTTGTAAAATCATGTATTAGGCAATACACTAACTGCATGGGCCTTTTTTTTTCCACAATGATCCAGTGATTCTGACCTCTATTTTGAATCGTTTAATGTTGTCAGCCTAAAAGAAAATATGGCACTGATGAAGCAGATACCAACTGATAGACTGCACTGTGTCGTTGGTTGCAAAACTGGCTCTGTTTTCTAACGGCAACATTAGAGAACACACAAATATGTAAGACTGCGTTCTTCCATTTGTGCAACATCTCTAAAATTAGAAATATCCTGTCTCAGAGTGACGCTGAAAAACTAGTTCATGCATTTATTA